TTTGGAGAAGTGTCTGTTCATGTCTTCTGCCCATTTTTTGACTCGATTATTTGTTTTTTGGGTGCTGAGTTTGAGAAATTCTTTATAGATCTCGGACACCAGCCCTTTATCTGTAGTGTCATTTGCAAATATCTTCTCCCATTCCGTGGGCTGCCTCTTGATTTTGTTGACTGTTTCCTTTGCTGTGCAGAAGCTTTTTATCTTGATGAAGTCCCAGAAGTTCATTTTTGCTTTTGTTTCCCTTGTCTTTGGAGACGTGTCTTGAAAGACGGTTGCTGTGGCTGATGTCAAGGAGGTTACTGCCTATGTTCTCCCCTAGGATTTTGATGGATTTCTGTCTGACATTGAGGTCTTTCATCCTAAATGCCTCTTCTTTAGAGAAGTTGTCCCTGAATCTCTAGCCCAAATGAGAACCTGCTCTTACAGCGCTAATTGTATTCATAATGATGTGTTTCCTGGTGTAATTATGAGCTTGGTGTCTGTCTCCCCCACTAAAGCAGGAGCGTCCATGAAGGCAGTATTTGGCTAGTATTTCTTCAAGGAACAAATGAATGAGGACACCAGGCTCATTGGGCTGGAGACCAGAATGCAGGTCCCCACTGTCTGGGGGGCAGAGCAGGACCCATGATAGCAGGTGCCAACGAGAAGGGCTCTCCCCAGAGGTCTGAAAAGATCCCCTAGCCACTCACCCGTGCCCCCTCCTGGCCCACCTGCCGCCCACACACACAGCCGGACCCGGAGCACTAGAACACTGCAGCTTTATTGATTGAAACAACCGCGTCCGCAACTAGAGGTTACATCTGGGGGACTTGGGGGTGAAAGAAGGACAAAGAGGTTGGGGTGGAGACAGAGAGCAAGGCAAAGGGGTGAGGATGGGGTCGTCTGACTAGAACAACCCCAAGACCTTTCACCCATGAATGAGGGTCTCCTGTTGTGCTTTTACCTTGGTGGTGGGGTGGGCCTGGGCATGGAAGGGTTGGCTTTTCTCTCAAGTCTGGGAGGCCTCAGGGCTGGAACAGTCCCCTCCTTCCCCTGCCCCTTCTCCTGGGTTGGGGATAAAGGCCTTGGTGAGCTGGCCACCTGGGGCAGGAAGGATGCTTGGAGACCGCTGGGGCAGAGGGGCCAGCAGAGTTGAGCTGAGACGGTGATTATGGGGGTGGCTGAGAGGGGGTGGGGAGGTACTGGGAGGGAGGGCCCTCCTAGGGGGGCCTCTGGGAAATGAATTCAGGGGACACGAGGGAGGGGTGATGGTGGGCAAGTGCCATGTCTCTGACCTCAGCTTTCTCACCTGTACCATGGGGGCACTGGATTAGATGGTCTCTAAGGTCCCTTCCAGCTCTCAGGGTCAAGGGCTCCCTAGGAAGGAGTGGTCCTTCTGCCCCAGCACACACCCTCACACACATACACACACATACTCACACCCCCACACAGACCCCTTCAGCCTCACAGACACACACTCTCACACTCAGTACTGATCCAACAGAGAGGGGTGTGCTATCTTGCCTTTGGAAGTGGGGAGAGCTCCCCAGAGCCCAGAACTTGAACCCGTGGCCCTACAGGGACTCTCCAGAGCATGTTCATCCACCCCATTCCTTGGGACAGACCTTGGAAATACTGCCAAGCTCTCTGAGTCCAGGGAAAGGGAAACACAAGACTTTGTACCCTCTCACCCCATCCCTCTTGGTCCTTAGGGGGAAGCCCACAGGACAAGGACACCAGGACACACCGATCTTCCCTTGGAGCCCAGGCTCACGTGAAGACAGAGGGCCGGGGAGGGGAAACAGTCCCTTCTCTCTGGGAGCCTGGGCAGTAGCTAAAGCCAGTGTGGGCAGAGGGAGGCAGCGTGGGAGAAGCAGTGGCCTGGGATGAGAGGCCAGAATTTGGGGCAGGAGACAGCACCGCTCCTAGAGTAGGTGCCCGGTAAAATCTATAACATCTGTACCAGCGCCAGAAGACAGGGCAGGTGGACCAAGCCCGGCGCTGCTGCCTGGTAGGCGGCCTTGGCCCGCAGTGTGACAGCCCCAGGGTGGGAGCACCGGGCTTCCAAGGCTGGCTCCACCCCAACCGGCTGTGTGACCTTGGGCCAATCCGCCCCCTGCACCTTTCTCATTTACACAAGGAGGGGTTTGGCCCTCTGAGGCCCATTCCACCAGTGAGAGCCTGAGCCAGGGGCTTCCACCAAGCACAGGGAGAAAGGAGAATGAACGGGAAAGAGGCGGCAGGGTATCCCAGAGAAGGCAAGGTGGGAGGAGCATCCCGGGAGGCGGGGGCACGGTCTGCAGGCTTAGCTGGGTACCCCGGGTGGCTGCCTGCGGTCCCAGGGGCAGCACAGCCCAGCTGAGACTCCCCCTCTTCTGCCTGTACAGCACCTGGCCCCAGGGATCTCCCCGAGACATCAAACGGGGGAAACTGGAGTGAACAAACCCCAACACCTTGAGAGCTGACCCTGGACTCCCTGTTTTAAGGCCACAAAATGCCTCAGCCACCCTGACCCGGAGGGTGAGACTGCCACAGGGGAGACGCACCGGATCCAGCCAGCCTGGTCTCCCCTGGGCCGGGGGTCTTCATGGGCCACCCACCAGCGCACAGATGCTGATGCCCACGGCCCAGGTGACATGACACAGACGTGCTGACTCACAGGCAGACACCAGACACACGAACACCGGGACACACAAAGACCCTTCCTCCTTGCAGACCCCATCCTCCCACACACAGACCGGCACACCCATCACACACTGTTAGTGTTAGTACGCACAGACACACACACTCCCTGCAGACCTGCACACGCACGCACACACACACACACGCACACAGGTACCAGCCTCGCCCATGCACACAGGAGGACCAAGGACCTCGGTGCCCCAAGGAGGAGGTGCCCGGTGCCATTCCTCTCTGCACCTCTGTACCCACCCCAGCAAGGGCGCAGAGGAAGCCCCTGGCAGGCCAGTGGTTCGCATTCCTGGGTTCTTCCAAGGAGCTGTTAAACATTTCTGATGCCAGGCTGCCCATCAGTCCAATTAAATCAGAACCTCTGGGGATAGGACCCAAGCATCCGTGCTTTCTAAAAGACCCTCTGGTGGTTCGATTCTGCAGCCAGGGCTGGAAGCACTGATTTATAGAATCCATTCCACTGGGCAAAGCCCGCGGTGATTCCCCTGTCAGGCCCACCTGTGCTGGGCATGAGGTTGGGATGGGCCGGGGGAAAAGGCTGGAAGACTCGGAGGAGGAGCTCACAGTCTAGTTGGGGGCAACAGACCCTGCACAGATGGGACAATTAAGGAACAATACTCAGCAGACGGGATGGAAGTGCATTCTGGGAACCTGGAGCCACTCATTTTGGAGAGAGGCCTCGGCTGGGCTGGCAAGGCAGCCAGGCTGGTGGGGGGGGTCAGAAGGCCCCGCTCCAGGCCTGGCCCAGCCACCCCAGCTGTTGGTAACGACAGCACAAGCCACGGAGCAGTGAGAGGGGCCGCCTTCGCGTCGGTGCCCCGCCTGCCTCTTGGCCCTGCCCTGCTCCCCCTGCTGTCCCCTCCGAAGGCTCCAGGCCAAGCCCTGTAACACGCCCCACCGAAGGTGCTCGCATTTCAATAGGGTCGTCCGTAAGCTCTTTGTCATCCGTAGGGGATGAAAGGTAGAAATTCAGGCGGTGGCAGGCAGCTTGAGGCTACAGAATAGGGCTGCCAGTGGTATATTTGGCCAGCACCCCACACACATTCATGTCACTCGTGGAGGGGGCATGCATGCCGACGTCCCGCAGGCGCGCACTGAGCCAGGGGTTAGACCGGCCTCACAGACGGGTATGTGTAACTGCGCGTGCAGACTCCCATTTGCACACGCTCCTGCCCAGAGATGTACCCACAGTGCTACCCAGACACAGACAGGTGCACACGCGCGCGCACACACACGGCCACATGCACACGCGCATGAAGACTCACCCTGGAAGGGGCTGGGCCTCCTCTCTCCCATGGATGGTGGGGTGGGGTCACAAGGGTCTCACTAGATTCCACTGTGCCCACCTAGGCTCCCAACCCAGAACCCGAGGACAGGGAGCCCTTTCAGTTCGGGCATGAGCTCAGCTCCAGGGCAACAGGAGGCCTGCACCTGCCCTGCCCCCTGCCCCAGCTCTGCAAACCCCTCTGTCCCCCACTGGGCAGGGAAGGGAGCAGCCAACGAGATGGTGCTTTGCAGTGGAGGGGGAGCAGGGGCACCCCCTTGACACACACCCTCTTATCCAGGGCACCCCTTCCTGCCAAGTATAGAAGAAATGAAGGCTCCGCTCTACTCCCAAATACCATGGGGGCACAAACTCACAAAAAACAGGCCTTCTCCTCTGCTCCTCTCAAAGTCAAGCCTCAGCCCAGAAAATGGCTGGCCAGCACCCCACCCCCACGCCCCCAGCCCCGCTCCCTTGAGACGCAGGTGGGTGCTGAGGTTGGGCCAGCTGACTAGGGTGGAGATTGTGCTCTCAGGAATCCAGCTCCTTGTGGGGTGGGGTGGGGTGGGGTTAGATGGGGCAGGAGGGAAGGTGTCAGTCTTCAGACTGCCCAGGCCCAAGACCCTGTGCTGGGTCCCTCCGAAGGGGCAGGGTGGGGAGGATATGACGTCCAAGAACAAACAGGTCAAGGAATCAAGGTGACCTGGGGTCTCCACCTTCCAGCCCTTGCCCTGAAAACAAAGGGCGTGTGGCAGGTGCCTCGCCTCCCTCGCCACTGCCCGCAGAGGGACATTCACAGAGCTCACAAAGTACCCTGGGCCTCCTTTGACCCCAGCCTCCCTCATCCCAGGGAGTCCCAGAGTCCAGCCAAGGGTGGGGCTCCTGAGCCAGCTCCCCTTCTGGCTCCCTTCTGGTAAAGCCACTGGGCTGAGTTAGGAACGAGGGAAGGTCACCAGTTAGGAACAGGTGCAGCCAGGACAACGCCCACGTGGCGCCGAGGTCCCTGGGGTGGCAGATGCCATTCCGGCGAGTCCCTTGTCTCCGCAGAAAAGAAGGTGCTGGCCGGTCGGATAGAAACTTGTGCTTTAATATGTGTGTGTGTGTGTGCGTGTGAGTGTGTGCGTGTGTGCGTGTGTCAAACGACCGGCTCCAGGGCCTCAGCGCCGGGCCTCTGTCCTTGTTTCTCTGCTCATCCTTGCAGCCAATGCAGGCCCCCTCCCTGGCGGGCCGGCCCTGCCCCTGGGCACCCCGGCTGGTGGGGGTCAGTCTTTGGTACGATGCGGACACTTTGGTGTGCCGGGGGCGGGGTGGGGAGGCCACGCAGCTCTCATCATCTCTGCAATGCCAAGAGGAAGATGACCATGGGCCCCCAGAGCTGTGGGTGGGGCTGGCGGGGGGCTCCACTGCCCGGTATCACCACCACTGTGACAGGAGAGAGAAGGGACACAGGCCGGGGCCCTGGTCAGCTCGGTAGGGTCGGGGCCTAGCAAGCTGCCCCCTCTCTCGGGGGGGACCTAAAGGGGGACGCTGCCCTCACTGCACACAGACACACCCGTAAGCACAGATGTGAGGTTGGGTGGTGTGGGGCTTAACTTAAGCCTCCAGGGTCCAAATCCTGACTCTGCAGCTCACTAAGACACGGAGCAATTCACCTGACCTCTGTGGGCCTCAGTTTCCTCGTCTGTAAAATGAGTCCAATAGTCAGTGCCACCCCAGGGGGCTGTTGTCCTCACGACATGAGATCGTGCATATACAGCGTTTTGCACGCTGCCTGGTGCATGGTAATGACTCAATAAATCCCAGCTGTTACAATTGCAAACACCTGGATCTGGGGGGTGGGGCACACGTTCACATCTGCCCCCCCCCACTGCCCCCTCCCCACACACAGACATACCCAGACGCAGACAGAGGAGGCATCTGGGTACTGTAATAACTCAGTAAGTTCACGGGAGGGCACAGTTCTCATTGCGCTACAAATGCCCCATAACCTGAGCCAGGGTGGGGCCCAAGATGGGGCCCAAACACACCAGCCCCTGTTCACGTAGTCCCTGACACACGCATCCCATCACACAGTCACTCTGAACCCCCATTCAGCCCTGACACAGACAGATGCCTACCCACACCGCCCCCCCTACATTCGGCTCCTCCCTCCCTCCCTCCCTATCTTGCACCTTTATTGGGATCCATCTGCTTCCGGGGACACTCTCCCTTCTTCAGTGTGACGTCATCTATGGCGATATCCCCCAGGTAGCCAGAGCCTCGAACCCCCTCAAAAATAATCTGGGGTGGGGTCAGAGAGCAGAGAGCAGGGATTAGGGGATTCTTCCCAAGAGAGCCCCCAACCCCTTCCTTCCCCTCAGTCCACTTGGAAGCCCCCATACCCCCACCTGGGTTTCTCCCCAGCTCCCCGGAGGGAGCCCAGAGTCTTCCTAAGTGCTCCCTGGTCAGAGCACCGGCCTGAGGGCTGGGGGAGCCTGTGAGGGGCCCCCGGGCCCGCTGGACTCACCTGGAAGGGCCCGCTGGGTTTGATGGGCACATGCACCTGCTGCCACACATTGCCCTTATTGCCACTGAGGGACCAGGCATGCGTGTCCAGGCCCCCTTTGTTCCGGGACCGCACCAGGAGGTTGAGGGAGCCTGTGGTGGGGATGAAGAGAAGGGGGCAGTGAGGGTCTGGACAAGGCCCCCTCCCCCGCCACTGCCCACAGCACCAGCCCAGACTGGTTCACATCCCGTTATCCCCGGAGGGGGGCGGGGCGGCGAGGGGCACCTTCAACACGGGACAGAGACGACAGCAGCGGGCTTCAATTCATCAGGACGCCTGCAAATTTTCTTTCATTCCTTCCCTTCCTTTCTAATCAGCTGATCCCCCCCCCAACACACACACACACACACACACACACACACGTACACACACACCATCCTTCTTCCTCTAAACAGGGGAGTTGTCCCAGGCAGTGGGGCCTATGACTGAGCACAGAGCAGGATTCCCAAAGCACACAGTGCACACCCCTGGCGTGGGATGATTTTTCTGGAAGCACAGGAATGGACTTTAAAACGTTTGATACTTAGATGTATGTTTTGAGAAATGAATAAAGGCGAGTCCTTCAAACTCACGATTTCTCTAATATTGACGCTTCGGACAATGCTAAGAAAAAGAGGGAGTTGCTTTAAAGAGAGATGTTGGTATTTGTGCCACATAGCCACGGGAAAAACAGAGGAAGTGAAACGCTGAGGGCATTTGCCTGTGGGTGCTGAGCTCGTGTGCCCACGGCCACAGGGGCCTGGAATTCTGGAGGTGCTGGGGCCCTGGAAAAGAGGGAGGGGATCGTGGCTTGGCAAAGGTGCCCAGGCCATGTCATGCCCCTTCTTGGCTCGTCCAGCCTGCCTCGAGCCCCCAGTGATAAGAAGGATCTGGCTCAGAGGGAAGGGGGAATGAATCTTAGCACCTGGTGGCTGGCATTTCCATGGCGCTGTCCAGAGACAAAGCCACACCATCTGTGACACCAGATAGCAGACCCCCGGTGGGGGAGAGTCACCAAATGTTACCTGCCTGAGCTGAAAGGAGTTGGCCCGAAAGACACAAGGTCTGGGGACAGCTGGTTCTTAGAGCTGCCAGGTGGGCTACGAGGGGAGGGAAGAGGAGGAAACAGGACAGCAAGAAACACCCCCTTCCCCAGCAGCAGGGCCAGGCCTGGGTGGGGACCCTTGCCAGCAGATGGACCCATCAGATGGCTATGGCCAGCTCCCAGTGGGCCGGGAGGTGCCACACAGGCTTCAATAGGCCCAAGCCCCAATGCCTTTCAGGCTCTTCACCAGCCCCAAAGGGACCCTCTCTCTTCCCCATCCTGGAGCTCTTCCACCCACCCCCGTTCTTATCCCCCTCAATTCCCACATCTTTTCTCCTTCCTCCACCACCCTGCCCCAAGGCCACTAATGGGGGGACCCCTCCTTTTCACTGCTTAACCAAAAATTGCTTCCCTAAGTACCCCATCAGCTCTAGGATCTCCCCTGCTCAGGGGCTTCCTGACAGCCTTTCATAGGGGTCAGCCAGGGTCCAAGACCTGCAAGCTCCCTGAAGGGTGGGCCTGCTCACTGTCTTCCCTACCTCCCTTGCCACCTGCAAAGCCAGAGTGAAATCTGTGCTGGAGCCTGGACAGACAGACTGCAGCTTCCCAACCTCTGGGCTTCTGCTCAGGCTTTTCCCACTGCTGGAGACTCCCTCCCCTACCACATTGCCCTGGCCAAATCCTTCCTGTGATTTGAGGCCTCTCTGAAACGCCATCTCCAGGCCCCAGACCACTCTCTGCTCCGTGGTGTGACAGTTAGCGGGGATTCACATCTTCTCCTCCCCGTCTGACTCTTTGAGGGAAGGTCTGCAGCAAGTTGCTATGGGTTCTAAACAATTACGTGCTGAATGAAAAACTGTTTATGATGGTCCTCACAACTGAAAGAGGACTTTCAGAGAAACTCATGGTTAGAAGTTTCTTTGGGGTTCGTGAACCTTAGGCCTCCCTATCATTCATTCGTTCAACTAATTGAGCCCCACTATGTGCCAGGCACTGTTCTAGACACGAGAGATACGTCAGTGAATAAGGCAAAGACCCCTGCCCTCCTAGAGATTACCTTCTATTGGTGATAAGCATTATAAAGCTAATAATGCAGGGAAAGGAATAAAGAGGTATTGAGGTGGGATTGTCAGGGACCTCTCTGAGGAGACCTGAATGAGGGAAGGGGGAGAATGTTCCAGGCCAGGGAACATCATGAGCAAAGTCCTCTTCGGCAGGAACCCGCCTCAAGTATTTCAAGAAAAGCAAGGAGACCAGTGTGCTCGCGACCTGAGTGGGAGCCAAGGCGAAAGTGGCAGAAAATGAGGTCAGAGAAGGAGGCAGGGGCCGGATCAGATACTGGAGGCCTAGACAAGATGGTGATGAAAGGGGCAGAGCAGGGGAGTAACGTGACTTGGGGCAGGGGGCCCCTCCACAGCATCCCTGCTAGAAAGCCCTCCTGTCCAGATCTGATGCTTACAGAGTCTTCCCCCGGTCAAATTCAAATCTGCCTTTGGCTTCTATATGTATATAGTGTTTCCGGAAACCTGCCCCCAGCTCTAGCGCAGTGATTGCCTTTGGGGAAGGGCTCTAGGTCGCAGGAGGACTGGGACGGGAGGGGGACTCTCATTACGCACCCTTTGTACCTCCTGACCCATGCAAAATACATGGGCTGTCTTAGTAAAGAAGTAAACAAACAAATAAATAAAAAATTTAAAAACTTGTCACTTCCTCCGCAGAGTCTTCCCTAATCAAGCCCCCAGCGCTGGTCCCTGTTCCCAGTTGTCTTGGCCACGTGGACACGTGTCACAACGGCCCCTCAGTCTTATCTGGTGCCATTAGCTGTTTAACGTCTGTCTCTCCCACTTGACCGTAGGTGCCAGGAGCATGGGGAACTGCTCTGCCCTGTTCATTGCAGCACCTGATGCCTGGCACAGAGCAGGAGCTGGGGAAGTGATGGCTGAATGATAAGTTCATTGATTCACGTGACTTCCCAGAGGGCGAATGCACGCCCACCCTTAGGAAGCCGGACTGCCCCTCATTGCTCACAAAGCGGCACCCTCCCAATCCTGTGTTCAGGGCTTGGGGGAGTCAGACAACTTGGGTTGCTGTGTGATCCTGGGGAAAATGCTGAACCTCTCTGATTTATATGGTAGTACCTCCCTCACCTGGTGCTTGTGAGAGATAATGGGACTACAGATGCAGAGCACCCAGGAAGTCACCAGGCACTTGACAGGTGCTCAATACAGACACCCTCTTAGCCTTTTTCGCCCTCTCCTCCAAGGCTTCCATCTTGTCCTGCTGGAGCTATCTTCTTTGCAGACTCAGGACAACCTCAGACAAGCTGGCTCTGGCTTCCTCCCTTGCCCAGATTCTGCCTACACCCCCTCCAAGGATTTGTCATTCAGCCAAGTTGGGAAGCCCAGGCCTCGCATGGGCCATGCCCAGCCTCCTGTGGACTCCCTCTCTCCTCCCTGCCCCAGCAACCCTTGGGCAGACTACCTGGTCCCCTGACTCACCGATGTGCTTCCCGTACATGTGGTAGAAAAAGGAGACGCAGTAGAACTTAGCGCTGGCATTGTACAAAGGACTCACCAAACGGGCTCGGTCCCCCAGCTCCCGGGGCCTTGATGTCTCGATGAACATGTAGTAGCCTGTTGGGGAGGGGGAGATGCACCAACAGCCTCCTCCTCACCCCACACAGGCCGCTTCCCGTCTGATTCCTTCACTGCCTTAACTTCACCTGACCCCAGGGGCCTCACCTATCCCACCTGGTCCTCCCCGCCTCACCGCCCGGCACAGGAGTCTAGGCCAGGAGTTTGAGCTCTAGTGCAGTTTCTCTTCTTCTGAGTCCCCATGAAGACAGAGTTGTGTCTCCCCCTCAAATTAGGGCTCCCTGAGGCAGGGCTGTGTCTCCCCTCAGACTGGGGCTCCCCCCTCAGACTGGGGCTCCCTGAGGGCAGGACTATGTCTCCCCCTCAGACTGGGGTCCCTGAGGGCAGGGCTGTGTCTCCCCCCTCAGACTGGGGCTCCCTGAGGGCAGGGCTGTGTCTCCCCCTCAGACTGGGGCTCCCTGAGGGCAGAGCTGTGTCTCCCCCTCAGACTGGGGCTCCCTGAGGGCAGGGCTGTGTCTCCCCCTCAGACTGGGGCTCCCTGAGGGCAGGGCTGTGTCTCCCCCTCAGACTGGGGCTCCCTG